GAAACACCTTTTCATTTTCTGTTGCTTCATGGCAGGGGATGGAGTAGGGAGTGGAGAGCACAGAGGAGGGTAGGTAGGAGTAGTGGGTTTAATCTGCAGGGAGGTAAGTTATAGCATCTTGTAAGGTTCTGTGGAAAGGAAGCTTGTTTTAGTAGGTGAGCCCCTAACTGATGCTAGCTATGTGATGGTGGGCAAGTCCCTTAAATTTTCCAGTATACCCCATCAGTAAAAAATTTTGTTTATAGATTAAATGCATGTTCTAAGGTACTAATATGTTGCCTTATGAAACATACACAAAAATAGATTTTTAAAAATAAATAAAGGTGAAATAAACAATTTAAATATGTTATTTAAAGGTACAAAGCCCTTTTTGGTCTTATTAAAATATTAATTTTTAAATCTTTAAATATTGATATTTGCATACACTGTGTTCTGAGCAGTTAGCCGCTTTTGATGTTCTACATTTGCTTCTTAGACTTTTTAACATGGCTTGCATTGGCTCCAATGCTTAAATTCTTAATTCACACAATAAAAAGTTACTATTATTTCAAATTTGTTTAAAAATGTTATGAACTTAATGTTATAAACTTAGATTTAAAAATTATTCCATCTAAAGAAGACAGATTGGTTGCCATTAAAGTACTCAACAAGGGTCTTCTCTCACATCTTAGGTTAGAGGCTGGATAATTAATGTATAAACTGTAATATTTTAATTTTGTGTGTTTAAACTATTATAAACAATAGTGCAAAAGGCAAGGTGGAGTGCAATTGTTAATACAAAAATGTTAAAAATTTCTATTAACAAATGAAACAAGTTCTATTTGATTTCATTTTCTTAAATTATGATTTGCATGTATGATATATATTTAATACAAAGTGTTTGAGAAAGATATTTATCTGAGATTTCAAGAAACATTCCACTATGAAATATAAAAACAATATCAACATTCCATTCTTTGGTTTATTTGCACTAACACAATAAGTAATATTTAAAAGTAATAGTTTAAACTTCAGTGTGAGACACAACAAAAATTATCTTTAAAATTAGCTATTTTATGAAAACAGATATCATTGCAGGACCTTTTTTTATAAGAAGCCTTTTTATTCCAATCTACGGCAAAGTTTTTATCCTTTGTGTTTTATTTGTTAACACACACTATTACAAAAAGGGCAACATTTTCCATTTTTCTTGGAATGAGTATTATTGGGGAGTGATAGTGGGCTGTTCCTTTTATGGTGTTGAAGACACTTTCTGAAAATGAAGCTGTGGATATCTGATGAGTAGTGTAGCAAAAAGGGCCTAGAGGATGGGGAGGTGGGGGTAGAAGATCACAAAGACTGCAGTAGTGACCCAAAGTCATATAGTCATTTCTGCTCTGTGCAGTTCAGTATTCTAAATTACAAGACTTTTTATGAAGAGATGAATGTTGTAAGCTTATTATCTTAAGTTTTGACATTATTTTTATAAAATATATAATAGAAATTATAAATAAATTTAATATAAATATAATTTTAATAAACTGTTTATATAGACAGTCCCCCTCCCTCATACCCTAGGGATAGTTCTGCATAATGGTTGAGATTTTTAGCCTTAAAAAACCAAACAAACTTGTGTTTATACCTTTACCAGAAGAACCTGATTAAAACCTTTTGCAGCCAATTTGCCCTACCCAACAATCCACTCTATAGATTTATTCGACTCTATTTGTTGCACTTACCTTTTCTTATTGCCATCCATCTCCTCCTTATCCTTCTTGAATCTGTATCTTCAAGGTCCACTCCCTAATCCTACTCAATTGTTTTATATTTTTATTTGTCTTTGACCTTGCTTCTCTTAAAACGAGGAAGTAACTCTGGACCAGTATGTGGTTCTCTTTTAGATTTTCTTCAGGTTCTCCCAAATTTTGCCAAATTTCTCTTCTCCAAATTCAAACTCTTACCCTACTTTACTGGTCCAGATACCTCGATGTCCATAAAGGGCAAATCTTTCTCCTATTGCTTTTCCAGCAACTCTCTCCCCTTAAAGTTTAGTTTCTGATTGGTGAAAGTTCATTATCTATCTCAACCCAAACCCAGTATGCTGCTCTAGCTGTATGTCCTCCCCTCTCCTCTCTTTCTGCCTCCAGCTCTAAGAAGTGCAATCAAGTTAATACTACTATTTCTGGAACGGACATAACTTTTTTATGACATTTTATTTTTTCCAATTACATGTAAAAACAAATTTAAACATTCATTTAAATTTTTTTTGAGCTCCAGATTTTTCTCTCCTCTTACTCCCTTACTTAAATTGTAAGTAATTTGATATAGGTTATATATGAAGCAGATAACTTTTTAAAAAATTTATTAAATTTTATTTGCAATTCTAAGTTTTCTCACTCCCCTCTCCCTCTCCACTGCTCTTGAGAAGACAAGAAAAACAAAACCCGTTACAAATATATATAATCATACAAAACAAATTTCTGCATTAGCCCTGCAGGAAAGGGCAAGTCAATCGTTTGTGGATCTACTTATCATTCTTATGCCTCCCCCAAAACACCCCCTCCAAGCCACCACTTCTCCTTATGTATTGTCTTCTCCTATTAGAATGTAAGCTCCTTGAAGGCAGGAAATGTCTTGCTTTCTGTACTTGTAACTGCTTAGCATAGGGCCCAGTACATGGCAAGACTTTAATGAATGCTTATTCATTCATTCACAAATGGCCAAATTATATGGACAGTTTTCAATAGAAGAACTGCAAACCATTAACTATATGGACTAATGTTCCAAATCACTAAAAATAAAGAGAAATGTAAATAAAAACAACTTTAGGGTTTTACTTCGTACTTAATAAATTGCCAAAAATGGCAAAAGACGAGAATAGTCCATGTTGAAGGGGTTGTGGAAAGATGTGCATGCTAATACATTGTTGGTAGAGTTGTGAATTAGTGCAACCATTCTTGAGATGTGGAATTACGTGAAGACAGTGACTAAAAAAATGTCCATATTCCTTAACCATTCCATTGCTAGAGGTGTATCTCAAGGAGTTTAATGATAACAAAGAAGGCTTTATATACACTAAAATATTTTAGCAGCACACTTTTTTAGAAGCAAGTAATTAGAAACAACATAGAGGCCCATAGATTGGAGAATGGCTAAATAAACTGTGTTATGAATGTGATAAAATATTAATGTGCATACTTACTATGATAGAGAAGCAAAGGAAGACATGTGAACTGAGGCAAAGTGAATTAGGCAGAACCATTAAAACAATGTATTTAATGACTTCTGCTGTATATATAAAATTAGCATTTTTTTTTGGTGTTTAAGTTTAGAATTTTTTAAAAAACCCTAAATGCTGTGAAACATGACCAAACTTGACACCCTCCCTCCCCCAATAGGCAGAAAAGCATCTGTCTTTTTTCAGAGATAGAAGAGCAAAAGTCAGTTTTTTTGATATGTTGACTGTTTTTGTTGAACTGCTTTTTTCCTCTTTTTTATTATAAAAGATAGCTCTGGGAGCAGAGGGTAGGAAGGCTACATTTGGGAAATGTAGGTCATCTAAAAGCAAAATACATCAATACAATTTTCAAAATTATAATTAAGTAAATTAAGAAGCCACTAGGTGGCCTGCAGGGCTGAATGCCTTACCAACCCTTCACTTCACACTTTTTTCTGGTACCTCTAGGTTTTTTGCTACCTTTTGTGTAAAAATTCTTAAATAAGGCTCTGTGTAGGAGATGACAGAGATTTTAAGATGGTCTGTTGAGTTCAGGGACCAGTAGTCCAGTTGTTTAGAACACAGTGTGAATAGTATGAAGTGTCTGCAAAGGCAGGTGTATGTGAATGTTAAAGTTTCTGTGATTATCTTTGCCTTTGTAACAATTTGTTTTGCTTCCTCCTCACTTTCCCTTGGTCAACTTCCTTCTTCTTTGTCTATTCCTTAACTGATAGTAATACAGAATTGAGGTATATTTATCATTTATCGGCTTAATAGTTTTGTGATCCTTGTTCTTAAATGTTAAAAGTGGATTAGAAGTCCAAGTACACAATGTATATTTTTCTTTCTCAATCTTTCCCTCAAACCCTCAGAGGAATTAAGTTGTTCTTTCCTTACTAGGCTCTTGATAGGAAAAAAAAGGGGGGGAGTCCTTTGCCCTACTCTAAGTGGTAGGAAGGCATTGCAGTTGCATATGGGATGTGAAATATGTGTCCTCCATGGAACTCTCTATTGGCATGTATAAGTCTAAAGTTTCTCCTTCTGACAAGAATGTGAGGGATGGTGTAAGGAGCTGGGAAAGATACAGTGATTATGAATATCAGCTGTTTGATTAATTTTAAATTGTGCTGAAGAGAGGAAATATAGAAGTTGGCTTACTATTAAGATACGAGTTATCAGACTTAAGTCAGACTGAAGCTTCCAGTACACTGAAACTCCTTGTAGTATAAAGAAATTGAAGAGTAAAAGATTTTCTGAGTAGGAAATACTTTATAGAGAGACTGACTTTTGTTCAAGGAAAAAATTTTCATAAGAAATAATTAACATATCTTGATCCTCTGGAATGGGCTAGATCAGTAAGGGTGACCAGAAAAGAGGTGGATAGAGAGAGCATTGGGCTCGGAAGCAAAGAAGACTCATCTTCATGAGTACGAACCTGGCTTTAGACACTTACTAGCTGCGTGACCCTAGGCAGTTCACTTTACTCTGTTTGCCTCAGTTTCCTCATCTGTAAAATGAGCTGGAGAAGGAACTGGCAAACCATTCCAGTATCGTTGCCAAGAACATCCCAAAAAGGGTCATGGAGAATAGGACACAACTGAACATCAACAAGAGACTTGGGCAAAACATGCTTATAAGCCCATAGGCCTGTTTCCTTATCTGTGCTATATGCTTTCTGAGGTTCTTTTAAGCTTTAAACTGCTTTGTTCTTTTAGGGCTTGACCATTCAACCTGTAAACCGAGAAAACATTCAGCTCATAGCGGGTACTCACAACTCCCTGAAAGAAAGGCACAGAGATCAAAGTAGGGGGCATGGCAGGTTTATTGGCAGGTAGCATTGAAGCCAAGGGTACTAGGCAAAGGGAGGGACAAGATGTGGTCAGATTGGGGAACACAGAAGTCCAGAAGAGGAAGGACTAGGACAAGTCTCCCATGGCCAAATAACAAGCAGGATCAGAGAGAAGGGATCCTTCTTAGATGGACAGATTAGGTGCATGTGGGGACATTCAGATTTCTCCCCATGTACCTATTAAGGGGGTGTTGCTTTGGGATCTTTATGTCCAAAGAACAGGGAGCCTTGGGACACACTCCCTTTTGGGTCTTTATTACCTTGCCCTGCAGGTTCGGCTACCTCTTTTCTCATGGACTGTGGGGCTCCCTCCCAGCTTTTGTTGCCCTTAATGACACTCACTTTAGGAGCGACAAGACTTTTGTCCCCTATTTCTTTGGCATGTTGGGCACTAGGTCCCCTTCCTCCCTTGAAATCAGTGCCATCTTCCTGGCCAAGAGAAGGCACTTTTTTCTCCTCCACCTTTCCCACTGACCCTTTAGCCAGGTCACGCTCCCCTCCAAAGCCCCGAGACTCCTGTGGTACCCTGGGGGAATGGGCAGAGTCTGTAGCAGGCAGTGGCTTCTCAGGAGAGGAGCTCCTTTCCCCCTCACTGTTTGATTTCTTTCGAGGACGTCCTCTTTTACGCTTGGCATCGATCCCTATTTCTTCTGTATCCTGGCTTAATACTTTGGCTTCTAGCTCTTGTCCTCTGGTGTCACTCATAGGCACTTCAGCTGTCCTCTTCACTCCCTTGCCCTGTGGTCCCAAGTCCACCCCTGGGCCTATCTCCCTGTTTTTCTCAAGGCCCTGAGACTGGGTAGGACCTTCTGGTGGAGCTCTCCCAGGTACAGGCACAGCAGATACAGTGGGCAAGATCATGTTGATGATGGGCAGAGTTCCCCGGGATACCGCAGCCCCACTGGGCAAAGGCAGTGTAGTGACTTTTAGGGTACCTGAGGGAAGTTTGGGGGCCAGGACTGGTGGGGAGACTCGGACAGGCTGAGCAAGTTGTGGGTGGGGTACCCGGGGGAGGAGCACAGGCAGTCGGGCAACCAGAGCATTCACTTGGGGGGGCTGCTGGCTGCCGGGGCTGAGGTTTCTGCAGTTTTCTTTCGCTCCCCTCGAACTGGGAGAGCAGACCCAGTTCGGGGCTCCAGTTCCTTGGGGGGCTGAAAAGAAAAGAGTGAAGGAGCAAAATATAGGGATGGGGGAAGACTGATAGGAGAAACAGGTATGGAGGTGACTAAGGCATAGGTCAACAGCTAGAAGTATTATAACCTCCTGCCCCATTCTGCCTACCCCCACCCCACCCCCCGCATTCTAGGGCCTAAAAGTTAGGAGTTATTCAGCCTCCTCACCTGGGGCTGACCTTTGGAGGCTCTTCCTTCTGGGTTCTCCAGACCATTCTTGGTAGCAGATGAGGGATCCCGTGGGAGTCGTTCAGGTTCATCTGAAAAGGCACAGGATTTTCCAGCATGGGGTGTGCAGAAAAACCAGAAATGAAGTGGGGATAGGTTATGATAGAAGTATGGAAATGATGGTGAAGTCTGGGGTGGCTCTACTCCAGCGTGTGGGCTAGGACTCTCAGATAATGGGAAGTAGAGTCAACCTACCAGCAAGCACCATGGCCATGAGCAGATGTGCATGAGCAGATCGAGCAGAGATGAGATGTTGCTGCAGCAGGAATCGGGCCACTTCGACGATGGAGCTGAAGGAGCGTTTTAATATACGCTCTGCCCAGTCACAGGTCAGGGCACAGGCCGCTTCCACTAGTTCATCCCGAGGACCTGGACCCACCTCTGGGCCCAACTCTGGCTACAGGTGGCAGATGACAACACACCTAGCTATGTACTCAAGGATTCCCCTCCCCAGGGATTCAAACCCTTGTGGCTTTTGCTAAGGCTAACATTAGAATGGGGAGGGTGGTCTGAATTTATCCTTCAACAGAATCCCAGGTGCTCTGTGGCCCCAGCCTAGCCATAGGATAGTTAGTTATGAAGCATCCAGGACAGGCCACCCAAACCGAGACAGGCTTCAAAGAGTGCCCAGTGAACCGTAGAGATTCTCACCCAGGGATGGCAGGGGGAGGTCTCAGAATGGTATTTGTCGTTACTCACACTCTCTGACCCCTTGAGGTCAAGTCCAGGCAAGGGTGGCATAGATACCAGGGTCTTTCTTCGGATACCACTGTAGCAATATCTGGTATTAAGTTAAGGAGAAGCCCCCAAAAGGGATATCCCAATACCTTACAGAATACTATATTCCCTGTCCCCCCAAATGTTCTCATTTTCATTCACTTCCCCACATTTTTATCCAAGGATACTTGGATTGGCCCCGGCCTCCCAGCCTCCGGGCCTTGATGTCAGGGAAGATTTCCCGGATGATTTTGCCAAAGTTGGCAGTGCTGAGCGGGCGGCAGCAGGCTAAGCTCTCACAGTACCTCCTGGGGTAAGGTAGGATCAAGGATGGCCAGGTGCCCAAAGAAGGAAAACCAGTAAATAGAAAGGATTTAGAAGAGATTGTGTGTGTGTGTGTGTGTGTGTGTGTGTGTGTGTGTGTGTGTTGGGGGAAGGGGGTGGGTAGGAGATCTGAAGATGACAATGAGGTGAAGGAAACATCTAGGGATGAATAAAAGTCCCGAGGGGATCTGGGTATACAAAAGTATAACCCTGAGTGTGTAGTCTCTGCACTGCCCTGTGTCCCTTCCCCCTCACACACCTATAAGCATCATAAACATCCTGCTTGGGCAAACAGGTGGCTGTGTGCTCTTCTAGGTGGTTTCGAATCCATCTGTAGGCATACATATACTCATCATGACTGAGTGCACTTGGCTCCAGGTTGCTGAGGATAAGAGGAGGAGATCATTGAGGCCCCAGAAGGAACGTTTCCATTCCCCACCACAGCACCCAGTCTACCCTGAATATAATACACCCTTGCACACATACAGGTGATCTGAGCTCAGGACACCAGAAAAGTAGAAATTCCCAGCTCTCCCTTCTCTAATCCAGATCATTATTTCATTGATAATGGGGGACTCCTGCTGTGAAAATTGTTCACATTGATTCAGGTACCTGGTCTGTGACAAAGTCTGTGCCAAAGACAGGTTACGAACCCAGGCTGTCCTGTTCCCTCTGCCAAGCTGCTTCTTTATCCCTTCCCACTCTTCCCCAAAACCCCATCTGCAGGTACTAAGCTTACCTTTTATCTCCACCACTGGGGCCCGAGGGGAGCTGAAGGTAAAGATACAGCTTGTCGTTGTCTGAGAACCTCTGCACATCTTGCTGGCATGGAGGAAAGAGGGTAAGCAGAGGCAGCAGTGAGATCCCTGCGGGGTCCTGGGACGCCTACTCACTGATTTTAGTCCAGCCCCCCGACCCCCATTTTACAGGCAAGGGAACCCAGGCTCACCATGCTGAGTGACTTGTCCAAGGTCATGTATCTGTCCTACTGTATGGCTCTGATTAGAAGCCACCTTGCTGGCCTCCTCTCCCAGTTTCTTTCCACTAAACTATCATTTTGCTCTTGTGAACCCATTTTTTTTTTTGCTAGGCAATTGGGGTTAAGTGACTTGCCCACAGTGTCAGTAAGTGTCAAGTGTCTGAGGCCGAATTTGAACTCAGGTCCGCCTGACTCCAAGGCCAGAGCTCTGTCCACTGCCCCACCTACCTGCCCCAGTGAACCCATTATTTCTGTCACACCCTGACCCGTGTTACTCACCAGGATCCCCTCTACTTTGTTCTGTACCGCCTTGCTGTGGGAAAGAGAAAGCTGACCGTCAACAGGAAGAATTCTAGCTAAGCCTTTGGGGTCTAATTGCTGGAAAAGGGAGAGAAAGCACCTAGCACACAGGAAACACTCAAATAGTGGTGACTGATATTTAAAGCAGGAAGCTTGTATCATCTAGTCCAACCCCCTTATTTTACAGATGAGGAAACTGAGGCCCATAAGGATCTGCTAGAGCTCAAGGTGTAGCAGGATAGATAGAGTAGCAGCTTACGAGATAGACCCTCGGAGCTTCTGTAGGAGAGTGGTAGGTTCACCAGCATCCCCACTGCCTGGGGCTGCTCCACCTGTCTTTGGGCTCTTGGCATCAGGTTCATCTTCTGCCATCCTGGCATTAGAACTTGAGTGAGACAGATTTAAATCTTGGATGTCTTCCCTACCCTTGGCACCCCTCAAGTCACTTAAAGGAGAAAGAAACAGAACCCATGAACCCGGACCCCCAGTGGGCCTCCTGGCACCACTTGCCTCCCCTTAAGCTCAGTTAAACTGTGGAAAGTCCTCCAAACTTTTTAAAATTAGCTACCTGAGGGTCAAGGTGAACCCCAGAGGCAATGTGGGAACATGCAGAAGTGGCGCCTCCTCCACACCCCTACTCCCCTACTAGCATTTCCTCCATTCTGCGTCTTCCCGGCCTCTCCCCCACCCCGCCCCGCCCCTGCCCCAAATCAGACGGTGGGGAAGGGGGGAAGAGTAGAGGAAAATCCAGACTCATCGCCCCACCCCCACCCCATCCAATCCATCAGTCACTGGGCACAACTGCTCGTCCTCACTACGCCCCCCACCCCGTGCCTAGCTGGGTACAGGTGCCCCACCTTTAACCCTGGGCCGCGGCTCACCTACTCGTCACAAAATGGGGAAGGGGCACGGGGCGTGGCTATATAGGTCCCCGCCCGGGGAGGGGGGATGTCCCAAGTACGGGGGACTCTGGGTGTGCGTGTGGCTGGAGGAGGTGGAACAGGAGTTGCAAATGCAGCCCAAATTCCCTCTAGCTTGCTCTATGTCAAACACTGTCCCCTCCCCACCTTGAAGCATCAGCTCTTGTTCCCAATGAGGAAAAAAAGGAGTAGAGAAAGAGAAACTACCTCGGAGCCACCACGACTCTGGGTCGGCTTCACAGTCCCGGTTCCACTCGTTGCTTGGCCCTTTTTTTTTTGATTGGTTGGTTCCGCCCCAATCTGCCCGGATACACCAGCCGGCCCCGTCTGCTATTGGTCCATGCCGCCTCCCAGAGACAGAGCGCCTCACTCCCTTCGGCAGCAGCTCAAGTCTGCCTAGTAACAGCAATCGGATTGGTTAGCGGGGGAGGGAAAATCCAAAGTTGGCAATATTTGAGCGGTAACGGGGAAGTCCGGGTTGGGTTTCGGTTAAGTTGGGGTCGGTTGGGACGGGTAGCTCCGGGAGGTTCTGCTCTTAAAGGGGCCGCGGCCGGAAAGCCGGGCCTCTGGATTCTTTGTGCTTTCCCCTTTGTCACTGAAGCGGGACGAGCGGGCACGGACGGGGAGCTACTGCGCCATGGCCTGCGGGGCGGGGGGGGGGGGAGTTGGCCGGGCGTCCCCGGGTGTAGGCCGGCACCGACGTTACCCTCCCCCGCCCAGCCGTGGTGGGCCCCCCCATCCCCCTGCGCGCAAACGCGGTTCCTGTCGAGGGGGTCCCTTAGGCAAGCAGCTGGCCGGCCCGGCGCTCGGGTGGGCTTCCCTTTTCTGCGTGCTCCACATCCCACCGCGTGGAAGGCTATCTGGGGGCAGAAACCCAGCTTTAAATTGTGTCGTATCCCCCCGAGCCAGAGGAGGGGGGGACTTGCTCTTCCTCACCCGGCGTGTCCGAGGTTTCATTTAAATCCGAGTCACCTGACCACTGGTCACCCCTCCCGGGCGGAGTGCAGCCAATCATCAGTTTGGCCTTTGGACTCCCCCAGGTGGTGACGGGGCCGCAGGTAGACTTGGGGGGGGAGGTGTCCCCGGAGAGAGAAGTTGCTGCTTCTGGGAGAAACAGGGATGATAGTGGAGGAACCCTGGATGAGGTCATCTCTCGAGGGTCCTTCCAACTCTAAACATCTCTGACGTGTTCGGTTACAAGTGTGTGTGTGTGTGTACAGATGTATGCAGAGAGAAAATCTGCAGACCTGCCTGATCATTCTATTTTGTCACCTTATGACGCTGAAGGCAGTGTAACCCAGTCCCCTCCACTTCTTTTGAAACTTCAAATGACCATAGTTCTTGTCAATCGCTCTTTTGGTGTAAGCAGGGTATCTGAGCCCTTTTTGGGAGTTCGTGGACCCTTTTGGAAGTCTGGTGAAACCCAGGAACTCCCTTCTCTTCCTACCTTCCCTATTACTTTGGAAGGTATCACCATTCCCCCAGTCACCCAGACCATCATTCTGGACTCCCATATCCAACCCATGCCGAGGCCTGCCGATGTTAACATCTTCTGCCACCACACTGGTACCTACAGGCTCCCATCTCCTCACACCTGGACTGTTGCAGTAGTCTGCTGGTAGGTCTCCTTGCCGATCACTCCAATCCATTTCTTCACTGAGCTGCCAAATTGACCTTCCTGAAGTGCAGGTCTTATGTACCACCCCCAACACAAATTACAGTGGCTGCCTACCACCTGCTGGGTGAAACATAAAATCCTCTAAGGGCACAAAGCCCTTAGAACTAGCCACCTCCTACCTTACCAGCCTTATTAGACCTTACTCTGCCTCCTTTCAGTCCAGCAACACTAGCCTCCTACTTATTCCTCCAACAAGTCACTCTCTCTCTGTATTCCAGGCACTTTCACTGGCTTTCCCTTTCCTGGCTTCCTGGCTTCCTGGCTTTCTTCAAGTTCCAGTTAAAATCTCAGATTCTACAAGAAGCCATAAGTGGTTCAGTGGATAAAGCACCAGACCTGGAGTCAAGAAGACCTGAGTTCAAATGCAGCCTCAGCGATTTCCGAGCTGGGTAAGTCACTTAAACCTGTTTGCCTCAGTTTCCTCATCTGTCAAATGAGCTGGAGAAGGAAACGGCAAACCCCAAATGAAGTTGTGGAGAGCCCAGCGCAACTGAGCCACAGCTGCATGGCATGTTTCTGTGTGGTTGTGTGCTTGTTGCCTCCTCTCACTAGATTGTGAGCTTCTGGCACATAGGAGGCACTTAATAAAAATGTTTATTGACTTAATGAAATGCATAAAATAAAATCCCTAGGATTACCAAGAAAACCCAATTATATTGAAATATAGTTACAAAAATAGTTTTTAAAAAAAGTTTGCAGACCAGGTTAAGAACCCCTAGAGTAGAAGACGTAAGGCTAGCCCTAGAATTGCAGAGTGTGAAAGGACAGAAGGTGTCACTAACAAGAATCTTTCCTGGCTAGTACCTGCTCTCTAAACATGTGAAAGAGAAACAGACCTCTGTGTGGTAGCAGCAGTGCCTTCATTAGGCTTATCCAAGCTTTAAGACAATTGAAGGGATTTCTTATCCTCAGACTCTTCAGGAGACAAAGAGGTGATATGGGTGCACACAGTCTGTACTCAGGCCAGGGAAGAGGCGAAAGGAATTCATTCACCCTAATCCAGCAACCAGTGAAGGCTGGGGGACCTTTCTACTGAAAATTTGGCTTGAAAAATTTTTTTTTTAAATTTTATTAATTTATTTTGATTTATCAGCAATCACTTCCATGTGCTTTTGAGTTGAAAATTTTTCTCCCCCTTCCTCCCCCCCATCCTCCCCAAGATGGCGCACAATCTGATATAGGCTTTACGTTTACATTCCTATTAAACATATTTTCACATTAGTGAAGTTGTAAGTAAAAATTAAAACCAATAGGAGGAACCACCAGAAAGATGAAACAAAACTCAATAGAAAGTAAAAATAAGTGATAGCGATTCGACTTCTAGTTTTTCTTTGGATGTGGACAGCATTTTCCATCCCGAGGCTCTGGAGATGTCTTAGATCCTCATAACGCTGAGAAGGGTTCAGTTTAACAATATTAGTCATCGCATAATGTGGCTGTTATTGTGTACAAAGTCCTCTTGGTTCTGCTCACTTCACTCAGCATCAGACCATATAAGTCTTTCCAGGTTTTTTGAAGTCAGCCTGTTCATCATTTCTTATAGCACAATAGTATTCCATTACATTCATATACCACAACTTGCTCAGCCATTCCCCAATTGATGGGCATCCTCTCAATTTCCAATTCTTTGCCACCACAAAAAGAGCTGCTATGAATATTTTTGTACATGTGGGTCCTTTTCCCATTTGTTTGATCTCTTTGGGATATAGCCCTAGAAGTGCTATTGCTGGATCAAAGGGTATGCACATTTTTGTAGCCCTTTGGGCATAGTTCCAAATTGTTCTCCAAAGTGGTTGGATCATTTCACAACTCCACCAGCAATGTATTAGTGTTCCAATTTTCCCACATCTCCCACATTTATCATTTTCCTGTTTTGTCATGTTGGCCAATCTGATAGGTGTGATGTGGTACCTCAGAGTTGTTTTGATTTGCATTTCTCTAATCAATAATGATTTAGAGCATTTTTTCATATGACTATAGATGGCTTTAATTTCTTCATCTGAGAACTGTCTGTTCATATCCTTTGACCATTTATCAATTGGGGAATGGCTTGTGTTCTTATAAATTTGTCTTAATTCTCTCTATATTTTAGAAATGAGGCCTTTATCAGAGAGACTGGTTGTAAAAGTTCTTTCCCAATTTTCTACCTTCCTTCTAATCTTAGTTGCATTGGCTTTGTGCAAAAACCTTTCAATTTAATGTAGTCAAAATTATCCATTTTACTTTTCATAATGTTCTCTATCTCCTGTTTGATCGTGAATTCTTCTGTTCTCCGTAGATCTGATAGGTAAACTATTCCTTGTTCTCCCAGTTTACTTATGGTATCAGCCTTTATATCTCACTCATGAAACCATTTTGACTTTATTTTGGTATAATGGTGTGAGATTTGGGTCTATGCCTAGTTTCTGCCATACTCTTTTCCAGTTTTCCCAGCAGTTTTTTTTTCAAAGAGTGGGTTCTTATCCCCGAAGCTGGGGTCTTTGGGTTTATCAAATAATAGATTACTATAGTCATAGACTACTGTGCCCTTGCATATTTAACCTATTCCAGTGATCCACCTCCCTATTTCTTAGCCAGTACCAAGCAGTTTTGATGATTGCTGCTTTCTAATACAATTGAAGATCTGGAATGGCTTGGGATGGGGGAGAGGGTGACAGGGGTTGGTATGGCAGGAAATCCTTCAGCAGAACAATGGTCAATTTGCATGATTGGTTTCGGCCCCTTTGATCTTTAAAGAATAGTCCCTCTGGCCTCATGCACATTTACAGTAGCAGAAACTTACGTATCAATTCCTTTCTCCTTTTTCAGTTTGGTTTATATTGTGTGCCTGCACATGTAGGTTGTATTTTTCCTGGTGGTAGAGACTTTTTCTTGGTCTCTACATCCTCCATACTTGATAAATATATGCTGAATTGAGAATAATGGGAAGCATGGTGTACTGTTCATTTTCCACCTGAGGAAACAGCCTCAGATACTATCTCCACAGGGACAACCCTTTCTCTTTATCTCCTAGTGACCTCATCAGTGGCTAGCTGGGAGTAGAAGGGTGGTAGACTGTGGCCATGGAAGATAGGAAAGCTAATTAATTAATGCATCAGTGATTTTTGGCTTCATTAGCACCCTGTTCTAATCACACGGGCTAACTAGACACAGATAGCGTACAGGTGGACGTAGGTTTACAAGCTCATAAATCTCTTGTATGTTTCCTTACCCTAAGCATAAAGGGCCATCCCTGCTGGGAATATACATCGACAAATGCCTGTCTTCCCCAGTTATAAAAGACTCAAAGGAAAGTATTCAGTTTATTCTTTAATGCCCACCACCAGTGGGAGTGGGGGGATGGGGAGATAGTGGCAACACTAAAGTCAGCCAAGAAGTCATATAAAAATAGCAGATAATGAGCAAAACACAATTAGGGATCCAAAAGAGGGAGGTAATTCTCAAGACTCCAAACCAGATTCCTGAAAGGGCTGTGGTGGGGTAGGATGGGGAAGGAAGCCAGAAGGCTTTTGGAAAGGAACAAAGGCCCCTACCAAGAAGACTAGGCCCTACAGAGCTCAGTAGTAGGGGAGAGGCCAGCTTCAGAGCCAGATGTCAGAGGTGCAGTCACCCCCAGGATAGCGGAGCTCGTGGGCTAGAGCTGGGCCCTGAGGTTCCTTCCCAAAATCCACCAGGAAGTCAGGGTTCAGTGTCAGGCCCCCCTTTTCTGTATCTACATCAATCTGCAGCATCACTGAGCCCTCCCTGGAAGAAAAGGGATATATGAGATATGAGAAGATATATGAGATAAGGAGAAAGTAAAGCCTCCTCCAACCTTTGTGATCCTCTTTTTCACTCCCCCCTCACCTCTTCCCCTACTGACCAATCCATGGGAATTTTTCTCCCCAACTTGGCAGTGGAGACTTATGTGGGATGGTGTTTAGGGGAAAGTTTTTAGGGTGATCATGGGAGTTGAGCTTCTACTTACGTAATACGGGAGTGTGTGTTCTGGGAGAGAAGCTTGGAAAGGAGTTTCCCTGGGAGTGGTGGAGGGGAAAAGACAGGGATTGGGGAAGAGAGGCTGGCTCTTACTTAATGAGGTTAGGGTAGAACTGCTTATCCCAACCACTGTACAGGGAGGTGGTGACATAGAGACGCCGTCCATCCAAGCTGAGCTGGATCATCTGGGGACCCCCTGGAATCTTCTTACCCTAGGGGAAGGAGCACAAAGATCCTGATAGCTTCTGCTGAGATATGTCTCAGTTAGGTTAGGTTTGCTCAGGGTTAGGGTTAGAGGAAA